GCAGACACTACAAGAAAAAANAGTTTTAGCGTCNAAATTTAGNGTCGGATTTGCGTCGACGCAAAATTAGCGANGATTTTGCGTCGTTTTTGTGTCGTCCAAACAATTTGACGCAAAATTGAGACGAAAAATAGCGACGCTAAATCGACGCAAAATTGCATCGAATTAGCGTCGATTTAGCATCCAGATCATCAATTCGACGCTAAATTAGCGTNGATTTAGCGTCGATTCTATAGCGTCGATTTTAGCGTCGAATATTCCNTCGAACTGGGTAGGTAGGTCGCACGTTTTTAATGGGTTCACCTACTTCTATAAAACCGACGCTAAATCGACGCTAATACGAAGCAAAGTCGACGCAAAATTATTCGATGCTAATTCGATGTTAAATTGCGATGCAAATTCGAAGCAAAATCGCTGCTAAATGTCTTATATATACTTCCCCAGATCACTCGCCAAAATCATTGAAGAAAAAAAAAACTTTCAATAAATTTTCTTAGTTAATATTTTCTGAATAAGATGGGCGATATATACGAACTAAGAAGGTGGATGTATCGATGTAGAGATAAAAATGGAGGAATTTCAGAAGAGTTCCTCAACGGGCTCTTTTTCTGATAAAAGTTTAATGTCTTGTAAATGACCCATTGGGCTTTCGTAATGAAACAAAATGTCGAAAAAAAAAAAACAATTTGACGGCGGCCGCTGCGAGGACGAGAAGTATTAGTACGGCGGCGTGTGAATAACAGAAACATCGCCGGCAACTCGTTCGACTGGGTTTCCTGCGAGAGAGGTATTCGTAACGGTGAGCATTTTCCGGAGGAGGTACGCGGAAGATCTGATTCTTAGGGAGTTCGATGACGTAAGTCCCCGGCGGTGGTCCGATTCTCGGTTTCTGAGATTCGCCGGAGAACCGGAGAATTGGCTCGAATTAGTATCATTGGTGTCGATCGATGAACGCTTTGTTTCGTGGACGACTTTGCCGGTTACGAAAATTAAAAGCGAGAAACATCAAAGCTATAATAAACTCATGAAGCTTTTACTCAACCCAAGCCATGGGCAAGTCTTCCTCTTGAATATTCACCATTCCTCCTGTTTCCGCATTGCCATTGTAGTCAGTACTACTAGGTACCAGGATCAACCAAATCAAACCGATTTTCAGAGATATAACATTGCTGCCTCCTCTTAGTGAGATGCTTTTGGTCTGTCAGATGGATTAAACAGGTCTTGAACGCAATGAAC